GTTCTCTCTCTCGCTCCCTTACTTCCTTACTCCCTCTCTCCCAATCGTTTTTCCTCTCTTTTTCTCGCTATCTCTCCCTCTCTCTCTCCTTCGCACTCTCAATCCCTCTTCCTTTCTCTATTTCTCTCTCTCTTCCTCTCTCTCTCTCTCTCAGTCTCTCTCTTTCTCTATCGGTTTCTCTCTCTTGCTCCTTCTCTCTCAATTTCTCTATCTTCCTCTTTATGTTTCCCTCTCTCTTTCTCTCGGCTTCTGTCTCTTCCTCCCTCTCTCTCAGCTTTTATCTCTTTCTCTCTCGGTTTTTCTACTTGTCTTTTTCTCTTTCTTCATCTTCTCTCTCTCGATCTCTCTTCTTCTCTCTCCTTCTCTATCTTCCTCTCTCTCCCTCTCGATCTCTCTCCTTCTCTCTTCATCGTTCTCTCTCCCCCTCAGTCTCTCTTCTTCTCTCTCTTTCTCTCTATCTCTCGGTATCTCTCTCTTCTTCTCTCTCTCTCTTTCTCTCTTTCTCACCCCCTCTCTCTTTGCTCTCTCTCTCCTCCTCTGTCTCGCTCTCTCTCCCTTCCCCTCTTGTTCTCTCTCTCTTTTCCTATTTCTCTTTTCTTCGCTCTCTCTCCTTCGGTCTCTCTTCTTCTCTGTCCTCTATCTCCTCTCTCTCTTGACATCACTCTTCCCCTCTCTCATCTTCTCTCTCTCTCTCTCTTTCGATACTTCTTACCCTCTCCCCCCCCCCCCCTTATCCCTGCATTGATCACACACATCAGTACCATCTCTCCCTTTACCTCCTTTGTGAAATATTCTATTTATTAATAGCATTATTACTGTAAGGTTGTTTATTAAGATGGCATCGAAAGGCTGTCAAATTAATGAATGATCTTTACGTTCCTTGTCACCTCCCCCCAATTACTCTCTCGACAAATCACACATCTAACGCTTGTCTGGCCATCTTACGCATGTATGTTCATAAGGCGCAGAGTGCAACAAGGTAGCCAAGAACAAACCAACCTCAAGTTAGGGGGGTTTCCGTCGTGGTCTAAGAGGGTGTCACCGCATGTCACGAACCCACCGTGAGGTAGGTCCCACCTCACACCATATTGGTACCTACCCGCACACACACCACATGCATTGTAGTTTTTAAAAGAGCGATCTCGAGCCGGACCCCACATCTGGGTCCCCGCTCATTATCTTCAGACCCGATGAGATCGAGTCCCAACCAGTAAGTGATATAAGCTGTGAAGTAAAAGAAAAAGAATTGAAAAAGAAGAAATAAAAAGAATATATACTCCAATTAGTGCACATGGTCACTCTTTCAGGAAAAACCCAAGGTACTTGGGCATAGAGATAAAACCGAGAAAGGTTTAGTAGGTTAGCTCTTGATGAGGTTAGAGTATGTCCTAATGACAGTCGAAAGACTGTGTGACTCATGTGTGTGATAAATGACCTTTAGCGATAGGGCTAAAACCTCAACGTTGTATCATCACACGGTATGTACATAACCATATCGAGATAGTGATCCACCATTGAGGGGTGAAATATGTACATGTGTGAAAGATTACCCATATGCACCATTGAGCCGTAGTTACATCATGGTCTAGGGGACCATGGTTTTTGTCTCTAGGGAAGAACCTGAAATGTATAAACTGGGATTGTATCCCCTAGCCGATTGACTGACCTTGGTAGTTCAATCATAAGCCTCTGCAGGGGACTGTGGGTCATGGGAGCTACTGGGTCAATTTGAGAAAGTTAAGTGGATCGTGGTCCGCAATTGAAGGTGAAGTGCTCCAGTATATTAATAAATTCCTAGACCTAGACGGATCTGATTCTCATCAAAATTAATTACTTCTATATTATATGATTTTTAAAATGTTTATTTGATTTTTTGTGAATCTTCTGATAATTTAATTGTCATTTGGATTTATAAATTAAGATAAAATCATTTTTCAACGTTTTAAATAAATTAAAAACTCTCTCTCTCTCTCTCTCTCTCTCTCTCTCGGTACGGTACGGTACGTACGTACGTACGTACTCTCTCTCTTCCTTCTACGTACGTACGGTACGTACGACCGTACGTACGTACGTACTCTCTCTTCGTTCGTTCGGTTACGGTACGGTACGGTACCG